TTGAAATGCTGTTCACTGCCCTGAGCCCTATGTCTAGGGGAGGGCGGACTATAAATCAAATAAATAAATAAATGACTTTTTGCCACGAAACCAAGTCTACTAGTCACCAAACTGACTTGTTCCTTATTTATACGTTGGCTAGCTGCTTGGATAATTTATCCTTTTCACCTATAATAAACCCTACATTTCTTCCTGTTATTGTTCAATACTTTGCCAGCTAACATCCTGCTAGAAGAGATGTGTTTTCCTACAACCCATCTCCTGTGACTCCAAGATTCAGTAATGCCCGCTGAAAGCTGCTCTGGCATCTGCCCAGTGTTTTTAGAAAGTGGGTGGGGTCAGATGGAACTTTTGCCCAGCAGGGCTTCTGATGAGTCACTGGAGAGCTTATTGGCCCTGCAGATTCAAAAATAAATTGTTTTGGCAGCAGCTGCCACCACAGGATCTTTACTGCACGACTGATGCAAGAAAACAGTATGCTCATTTAAAAAGCCATCCTGTTGAGCAGAGCTTCTGCCAGAAATGTTGAAGAGTTCCTATTAGTTACACGTATCCTCACTCCCTGAAATTTTGTGGTTTGCTCCACCTCCCGTGGCAGCCATTTTGCCTCTTTGGGCAGCCATTTTGTGGTTGCACCTGCCACCCTGTGTCAGAACCCCAAAGGTGTCTGCTGGCTAAAAAAGGCTGGGGACCACTGCATTGGATGGTGGACTGTATTTATCATGGAGGCAGGGGTCATTTCAGGGGGATCGCGGGGGATCGCAGTTCCCCCGGGTGAGGTACAGGGGGGCACATGACGAAGCCCCGCCCCCTGCTTCCAGCTGCCCCACTTCCGGCCCTCATTCAGCCAGGAGGAGGCAGGAGAAGAGGCTTCCTCCCTGCCTCTCCCCACCCCTGCCTGCCTGCGGCCAGGGAGGGCCTTCGCGGGGCTTCCTTGCACTCCCGCCGGCCTTGCAGGTCCACCGCCGGGCCCCTCATGGGGCTCGGCAGTGGAGCTGCAAGGCCGGCGGCGGCCGGGACCGTTGGGGGCGGGGTGTGTGGCCTTATGACACACGTCCGGTGATGTCAGGGGGTGTGGCCTTATGACACACTTCCAGTGATGTCAGGGGGTGTGGCATATGCTAATGAGTTATGCTAATGAGTTCCCCCAGCTCTTTTTCTACGAAATGACCCCTGCATGGAGGGTTTAAAGTTGTGCAGTTCATCACTACAATATTATACTTTCTTCATAATTAAGGGTTTGCTTTTTTTTCCTTAAAAAGAAATGTTTTGAATAAAGTAATCTGGCACATGTTTTTTCTAGCCAGAGAAATTATCCTCTTTTCACCTTTTCACATCAGGTTTTGTCAATCTTAACTAATAGATATTCTGCAATCAAATGAGCACTTATTCAGGTTTTCTCGTCTATAGGCAAATCAAGTTACATCTGTTTTCAATATGATTGTTTGCAATTTGGCCTGGTTATTATTATTATTTATGTGATACAGGTCATGTATGATGCAAAGCAGAAGCGGGCAAGGCATATAGGTTTCAGGCTCAATAACAATAAACACCTCATATCACTGGCTGGATTCCTACAGAAGTGGCCAGCAGAAAGACCAAAAAGACTTTGGGTTGACCCAATGACTAAACCTTTTGGCCACAAATGGAAAGAATGTGCTTGCGAAAGAACAGAGTAGAGTTCCGTCATCTTGCATTCATGGAAGGATGGACAGGGACAGCAAAATAAAATAATAATTATTGGACCTTGATTCCTAAACTAGAAAAAACAGCTTTAAATGCCCTTGTTTCTAATATAAAGTGCAATCCTAGGTACAGCTATTACCCTTCTAAGTATGACTCTGCTTCAGACTGCATTGTCAATCGAGTGTAATGGCTTCAGAGCAATAAGTGTTGTACGCTCATGACAAGGAGATGTAGCAGTGATATTACTCTCCAGCAGAGTCACTAAACAGTTAAGGCTAGAAGTCTGAATATACAAAATGCAAGCTGTAATTCTGAAGAGCGTGTAATTTTGAACCACTTGTCAATTCTCATAACTATTTCATTACAATTAGTGTATGGAGAAGATAATTTTCCAGTTTGTTTCTATCAAGGTTATTATGCCATTAAAACCTTGTTCTGAGGCTTAAAGGAAGAGTTATAAAGGCTGCTCACATTCCAGAACAGTCACAGTGAATTTCACAGGACTTGCAGTAAATGGGGCTGGCCTGAAACCCTCAAATCAGTAAGACTGCCTACAGATGGCAGCATCCCATATTGTGGTGGCTTGATTTAGCAGAAACCAGAGGAACACACAGGCACATAACACATTTGGACTGTTGTCATTCATTTGAATCTTCTGAACGTTGGAGTTTACCAGTGAGGAGATTCAGAGAACAAACAAAACTACCTGATACCGAATCAGACCCTTAGTATATCCAGGTCAGAATTGCTAGATTCAAATTCAGTAGCACTTTGGAGAGCAACAAGATTTTCAGGGTATATGCACTGGAGAGTCTGCATGGTTTTTTCCCATCAGTTCTGGCCCATACTGCTTCAGTTTATCCCCAATTTCCACACATATTTTTGTGCCTTTAATTTTCACTTTGACTTTGACCTCAGTGTTTTCCTGAATGCTGATTTTTTGAGTTGGCTTTTCCCTCAAATGCAATGTTTCTGTTGGTTTAGTTTCACCCACCCACCTCCAGCACACTGTTCGATGGTTAGACTGTCATGGTCAAACCACTCCCTCTCCTCCCCCCCTCCCCCCGCCCTGAAGACAAAGGATTTCTTTTTCTTTTTGAAAAAAGACACTAAAATACCAACGTATTACTGGAGTGTTGTAACAATAGGGCAGGTTCTAAAAATGTGAGAACATAAGAGAAGCTATGTTGGATCAAGCCAGTGGAGCATCCAATCCAACACTCTGTATCACACAATGGCCTCTGAAAAATTCTCTAAATTCCCAGCTTTCATTTTTTAAAAAAGAAAAAGAAAAAGTAAGTCTCTAGTCTGGGGTACCCTACAAGGTGCCCAGGGGTGCCATGGCACCTGCTGATGCCTTTTCTCATATTTGCCAAGTGTTTTTAGGAAGTGGGTGGGGCCAGGTAGGGCTATTGATTGGCAATGCAATTTTTTTAAAATGTCGCTATGGCAGCAGCTAGCTCCACCGTACGAGAATGTTCACTATGTGACTGCAATTAAGCTGCAGCAATCATTTTGTGGCTGGCTTTGCCTCCTGCAGCAGGCGTTTTGCTGCTGTGCCCACCATGCCATGTCACAATTCCAGAGGTGCCCCAAGGCTCAAATGGTTGGGGATCCCTGCTCTAGCCCCTTCCCTCTCAGATATATGCCTTTTCCCTTATATCTGTGCAAAGAAAGGGGCTAGAGACATACTATCCAGTAACATATCAATATTTAAGTGCCTTTTAAAAAAACAAAAACAAAAAACGGAGTGCTATGTAATGATGTCAGCACCCTCCCTTGAAAATCCTCATTATTGAAGGCATGTGCAGAAGAAAATGAACTGACTCCACTGTGAAAATGCAGAGGGAGGGCAGACATGAGGAAGAACTGTGCCTGCACTTATTCCAATGCTTGTGGATTGACTGCCAAGAAAATCAGGAGTAAGCTGAGCATGTGGAAAAGCTCAGTGCTCCCTACGTATCTGACAAAGGAAGCGTCAACTCTCGAAAGCTTATAACCACAAAAAGCTGGTTTGTCTCTAAGGTGCTACTGTTGTTCTACCGCAGACCAACACAGCTACCCTCTGAAACTGTCCCCATCTCAGAACTATCTACTGACAGTGGCTCTCCGGGGTCTCAGGTGGAGATCTGTCATATCCCCCATCTGATCCTTTCAACTGGAGATGCTGAGGATTGAACCAGGGACCGTCTGCATGCCAAGCAGATGCTCTGCCCAGAGATGCCTGTAGTCCCTAATTAATTTGCAGAGCTCAGCCTCTGTTCATAACAAACAGGCATCTGTGAGAAGATCATGCTAAACTCTAATCTCATGGAAACGGCTCCTATTTGTATGAAATGCTTGTTCCATGGCTTTGTCATTTGGATTTCATCTTGCCACCAAAACCACTCCCCCAAAGGGGTCCTATGGCCGTGTACCGATCCATGTCTTGATGTACAGGCTATATACAAATAGAAAGCCTATGGAATGATTTTTAAACCATTTTAAAGAAAAAGAAGAAAAACAATTGATGAGACAGTTTCCCAGCTTTTAACCCCAGAGCACATACTAAATCCTACTGTTTCAGCAGATGTCTGCCTTAAAAATATATATTTAATGGGGTCCCTTGGAATTTCTTCAGGAAATACTGTGGACATTTCTTTCCAAACTGAAGAAGCATGGCAAGATTGTTCAACAATCTGCTGGGATTCCAACCCCCCCCCAATAAATCTCAACTGTGGAGATTTTCCCCCCACCTGACTGTGAAACTGCTAGTCCCAAAGAGATGATACTGTAGCTTTAATAATGACATTGTGTGGACGTAAGGCTTCTTTCCAAACTTGGTATTTGAACTTTTGCATAAGTGATGGGACCAGTGGTGTAATTTGAGACCAGAGAGCAAGCCAGCACGATCTTAGGGCCAAAAACCAAGCTCCCGCATTACCACCAATCCAGATGTAGTGTGTGTGTGTGGGGGGGGGGGTTGTAGTATGAAGCGGCTGCAGCGGCTTCAGTCAATCTAGCTAAAACCTGGAGGCTGGTTCTCTAGGTCTCCCTCTTTTCGCTTGTAAATTTCAATAGCTTGGAAGAGAGGAGAGAGTGGAAGGGGGGGGGAGTGGTGGAGGTGGCTGGGGGAAGCCACAGAGAAACAGATCAGAAGCAACTCCCTTTTAGTTGCTCTGCAAAGGAGGGAGTGAGCCGGTGCCGGAGAGTCCTGTCAAGAGAAGGGGGCTCTCGACTTCAGGGAGCTTGGGAGGGCGTCCCGACCGGCCCCAATGAAACCCCGCGCGAAGCGCCCCTCCAGCCAGAGGACTTTCTCTGCCTGGGGGGGGGGGCAAGAGGCACCTCCCGGTCTCATCTGCCTTCGCGCTGCGCCCGGGGAGCCGCCGTCGGGATGCCGCTCAGGCTGAGCCTGGTGTGGCTGCTGAGCTGCTCGGCCAGCCTGTGCCGCGGCTACTTCGACGGGCCGCTGTACCCGGAGATGTCCAACGGGACGCTGCACCATTACTTCGTGCCTGACGGAGACTACGAGGAGAACGACGACCCGGAGAAGTGCCAGCTGCTCTTCAGGGTGAGCGACCGGCTGCGCTGCTCGGCGGGCGGGGAGGCGCAGCAGCGGCTGAACTACCCGGCGGCGGCGGCGGCGGCGCCCAGCCTGACCCTGCGGGAGGAGTTCACCATCCTGGGCCGGCAGGTGGAGGACGCGGCGCGGGTGCTGGAAGGCATCCGCAAGAGCATCTCCTACGACCTGGACGGCGAGGAGAGCTACGGCAAGTACCTGCGCCGGGAGTCCACGCAGATCGGCGACGCCTACGCCAACTCGGACAAGTCGCTGGGCGAGCTGGAGAACAAGTTCCGGCAAGGGCAGGAGCACGAGAGCCGCGAGGAGAGCCGCCTCAACGACGACTTCCTGGGCATGCTGGTGCACACGCGCGCCCTCCTCCAGGAGACGCTGGCCATCTCGGCCGGCCTCCGGGACAAGTACGAGCTCCTCGCGCTCACCGTCCGCAGCCACGGCACGCGCCTCGGCCGCCTCAAGACCGAGTACCTGAAAGGCTGAGCGCCTGCCTGCCCGCGCCCTCCCCGCCGCGTGGAGGAGCCCTGCTGGGCGCGCTCTTCTCCAAAGCTACCCTTCCTGTAGCCATTGATGCAGCTGCTAGACTCTCCAGGGATTTCGTCGCTTTGTGACATTTGGATAAGCTTCCATAAACTTCAGCCAACCGTTCTGAAGCGGGGGGGGAGGGGGGAGTCCCCCCCCCCAATGTTTTTAAATGACGCATCTCTGCGTCACAGCCATCGCCATCTCAGAAGAAAGAGGCATTCCCTCCTGTGTAAGAGAGGAGGGATGCTTCTTTTAAGATGGCACTGGGCTCCCATGAATGTGTAAGGACCAGTGTTCCCTCTAAGCTGAGTTAGTGTGAGCTAGCTCACAGTTTTTTAGCCTCCAGCCCACACATTTTTGTCTTAACTCAGGAAGAAGGGCTCCAGAGCAAACTAATTGATGCAGTAGCCAAATTGCTTGCTCACAACTTTAATGCCAGTAGCTCACAAAGTAGAATTTTTGCTCACAAGACTCCACAGCTTAGAGGGAACATTGGTAAGGACATAAGTAACTGTTAAAAAAATATGTTAGCGGATGAATCACAAGCATCGCTCTGACAAAAGGTTTTTAATCAGCGGATCTGACTCGTGCACTCACAGTTGCAATCCTATGCAGAGTTCCTTCAGTCCACACCAATGTTCCCTCTAAGCTGTGGAGTCTTGTGAGCAAAAATTCTACTTTGTGAGCTACTGGCATTAAAGTTGTGAGTGAGTGATTTGGCTACTGCATAAGTTAGTTTGCTCTGGAGCCGTCCTTCCTGAGCCAAGGCAAAAATGTGTGAGCCGGAGGCTAAAAAAACTGTGAGCTAGCTCACACTAACTCAGCTTAGAGGGAACACTGGTCTACACCCATATAGGATCTGTGGATTTTACCCTTGTCCCTGTGCATAGGATTGCACTGTTAATGTTGCAACTTTATTATCATTGTTACTATTATAAATTCTTCGTTGTCAGTAATATAATCATTCATGTGTAGCACTTCGTTATACTTAGTCCTCTACAGCCTTGATCGGGAAGTCCCATTCAGCAGAGTGAGGCAGTGGTTTGCCTCAGGGGACAGATTTGCTGGTGTTATTAAAAGACAACAAATTGTTCGCTTGAGTTTATTTTTAATCATCATGATGGGTGCCACTTCTGCCAGGGATAAGTATGACCAAAATTATCTGTCTCCTCTGTTTGCCAACTTTCTGACAAGCAGGAATTTTAACATGTGACTTTCCCTTACTGTTGCATCACTGTGCCAGTAAAAAACTTCACTTGCTGGATTTCCACCTGTCCTAAAAGGCATGACAGGCCCATGAAGAAAAAGCGTAGTGAGACTGTTTTATGGTGTTCTATTGTGTTCCTCTCCCCTAATTAAACCAGAAAGCACGTAATTTTGATGTTCCTTTTCCAGGTAATAATGACTTGCTAGCAGTGTTCCCTCTTAACTGGGTTAGTGTGAGCTAGCTCACAGTTTTTTAGCCTCTGGCTCACACATTTTCATCTTCGCTCAGGAAGGATGACTCCAGAGCAAACTAATTTATGCAGAAGCCAAATCACTCGCTGACAACTTTAATGCCAGTAGCTCACAAAGTAGACGTTTTGCTAACAAGACTCCACAGCTTAGAGGGAGCATTGCTTGCTAGCAGATTTTTAAGAATGCTTATTTCCAGAGCTATGTGTAGCCCAGTTTTAGCCAACTGGTGGGTCCTAAAAGTTTTATTTATTGTGATGATATAAGTATGTAGCACTTTCCTTATTCAAGAGATTTAGCAGCCTTACTGGTCACAGCCCAGCAACATTAACCCACTGATGTTATCTATGCTGGTTTGTGAGCAATGGAGGTCAACAGAGTGATTTGCCTGCAGTTTTTGAACATTCTGTTTCTTCCCTACCTCAGCTTTATGGAACTTCCTTTAATAAATATCTAAGATCCCCAGTAACACAAAAGTGCTTGAAATTATTAATAATAATGTATATAGCACACTTCTAAGTTCACATACCACACTCCTAATAAATGTAGAGCAGACAACCATGGCTGCCTCCACCAAGGATTTCCCATGTTTCAGCCACCTAACTGGTGCGTTTTTCATGTTTTCGCATGATGTCATCATGTTTTTCCACAGACCATTAACAGCATGCCCCCCACAGCCAACACTCCCCCCCCCCACACACTTTATTTTAAACCTATTAAAAATTGGTGTTTCCTGGGCAAGATGCTATCCAGCAGGAGCAGTTTCTTGTTGTGTCTGTAGGGGAAACCGCTCACTGAAGCACTTCAGTGAAATACAATTAAGTTACTCTGTTCATTTGCAAGGAGCCAGTCCCCAGCAAGAGTTAACAGAGGAGAATTGCCTGCCTTTTAGGGAGAGAGGAGGGGATTGTTGGAGGAGGAGGGTGGGGGTTTTTTTCCTTTTTGTTTTTTGGTGGGGTTTTTTACGGTTATAAAGGTGTTGGGTTATTCCTATCCAGTGTTATTCATGTTCTTTTTAAAAAAACAAAAACAACCATTCACCACTCAGCCTGTATTTTAGGGAGTGGGGAGGGGATTGTCAGCAGTCTCTGCAAATATATGGAGTTTTTTAAAAAAAACTTTTAAAAAGGAATTGTGATATTTCTATGCAGTGTTACCCATGCTCCTCAATCTTTTTTTTTTAAGTTAAAACATGGTGGCTGGAAAATCTGAGGGTCCCATGAGAACACTGTGGGGGGAGGGATTCAGTGTTCATCAGATAGGAAAGAGAAGCCACTTCTAACAGCTGAGAGAAAATTGGTTACCTTGGACTGTGTGGAATCTCTGTTGCGAGAATCACATCAGCGATCAACTATGATGAGGAATCACCCTGCTATGGAAGCTGTCCATCTGCATAGTGCATTGCTGGCTGTAAAATGATTACTCAGGGGATCCATTATATCAACTGTAGATTTGTATTATGGGCTTTTTAAAAAAAACTGAGAGGCTTTTTTTAAGCGAAGAAGTTACTTGCAACTATAAAGCTTCCCATGAAAACTGTCAGATTTGAACCAAACCTTCCATCCCTCCCCTTCCCTTTCTGCAAGAATTATTTTAAATGTTGGAAAGGGATTTAGTGTAGTTGGAAGCTACTGTTGAGCCTGTCTTGGCTCTCACCCAGATTTAACTCTCCCACCATGTGGGAGAGATCCCCACTAAACTGCCAGCAGCCAGTACTGGAGTCAGCCACATTCTTCAAGCTAGGATTGCCAGATCTGGATTTGAAAATTAAGGGATGCTTCATAGCTGTGGTGGCTACAGTGGAGTTCTGTTGGAACTGGAGCTGTCTAATAATAACAGTCTAAAGAATTCTAAAATAGAATTTGTTTCATTACATGTGCTGTCAATGTTCCAGTGCTTAGAAATAAGGACTAGAAATAAAGCAGGAACATTGGAGCAATTCTACCCCATTTTTAGAACAGCCAGTTTTGTGTTCTTTGTTAAAGGGAAGCAAGAGACTCCAGAGAACTTTTAGGAATTAGGTATAATGGTATGTGTCATTCCACCTTCAAGAGAAGGGTAATAGAATTGTTCTTTCTTGCTTGGCACCCGAATTATCAGACATTTATGTTCTGGTAAAAAGTGAGATTCAAATTGTTTAAACTTCCAGTGGACTCGGTGGGTGTCCTTGAGCCAGCAGAGCGGAGGCTCAGAAACTTGGAAGAAAGGGCAGCACAGGCAATGAAAGCATCCACAGGAAAAGTAGAGCATCCCCTTCCTTGGATGCTCTGATATCCTGTCTCCCTATTTTGGCTTGCAGCTACTTGAACCAAATAGAGAGAGGAGTTCCCAGCAGTAATACTGGAGTAACTTTCCCTAGGTTTACATACTTGCAAACCTCTTCCCTTTCTGTCTGCATCATCACTTATAACTATCAATGCTGCTTCCCAGCAATATCAGCTCTAGAGTTGTGCACTAGAGTTGTCAGCTCAAGCCGTTGACTAATTCTACAGAGCTGCAGGTCTTTGAATATAGATACATGCATTATGTGTCAAAGAACTATTTTTATTTAGAATAAAAAATACTCCTTTGAATTAAATATATATATATATATCTGTCCAGACACCATATACTGCTCCTATTCATCCTCTGAAAGTCCATAGAATATACTATATACTTCATGGCAAGCCTTTCTCACTTTGCATGCACTCTTCACCTTTCTAAAAATGTCCCAGTTTTCCAGCCATCATCACTCACAACTCTTCACAACAAAGCTAAAACTTCCAGCTCACACCCTTCATTCCCAAATGAGTCTAATGCAGTAAACATCTGGTTAATTCCAGCTTCCTCCATCCACTTCCAAGTACATCCCCCTCTCTACTGGTACCCTAGTAGGATTGTATTATAGCCCTTTGGTGATTAAATTCTTTTGCAAGTGCAATATAAAAGGTTCAGGTATTAAATCTTTTTAAAAGTCAACTGAATCATTAAGACGATAAGATGTTTTGTATTTCCATATATCAGAACTTGCCTTTCACAACTAGAACAAAGTTTCCTTGCATGATTCTATGTCTTGCGATTCTGAAACATGCTACGATTGCTTGTAAGAGTACAGAAGCCTGGCTGTTGCTTTATTTTTTATATAACTATCACATATTTCTCTAAGTGAGAAAGTTGACCTTGCTGAAATATGTAACAAACCTCTTAACATGTACTTTCAGATTGGAGATTTACAACCTTCTTATATGAGTCTTCTCACAAAAGCTTATCCAGTGTGGAACAGCTCTCCTTCATTGAAAAGTGTTTCAAATCTTCCTAATTTGCTCTGGTCTAGTATTATCAAAGTAAAGCTTATCACAGTGTTGAATAACACTTTGCTTAGTAAACTCCACCATAATCTCTGCAAACCTTTTAGTCAGATGAGTTCCTTATACAATTAAAACTATACTCCCAGTGATAGCATCATATACATACTGTTGATCATTGTCCATCAGTGCATAAGATGTATGGGGAATGTTGCCTAACCTTTCAAAGGATACAATATAGAGGATTCATAATCTAGTCACTTTCTAACAGGGACCCATGACGTAGCTTTCCAAGATGGTATTTATTAAAATTACTTTCTGATTTATTATTTCTTTAAAATATACATTCTAAATTGTATGCAATACATCCATATGATGTTGAAATCTAGAGGTATTAAGTATTCTAATATTTAAGTACTGTTTTGTATTCTGTTGTGTATCTTTAATTGCAGGTGGTATATCCTTACCATTTTGGACTTTTTATTGGTATGTTTTAACACATATCCCCATATTAACCCATTGCCATATTTACAGATAAACCAAGGAAGCTTGGATTTATGTTCAGGTGTGTGTGTATGTGTGTATATATATACACTTGTGTGTA